AAAACCCCGCGTGGAGTAAGTGCGTGTATTCGCTCGCTCCGGATAATTCGTGATCGATGCGTGAAAAATGAACAATAGCGTAGCGATCATCAATCGCTGATCCGATTCTACCGTTTGAGAACGAAAATTCGACACAGGTGGAACCGCCGATTAATCTCGCGCGGGATTAATCGTTAAGCTTCTTCCCTCAGTGCCCGATAAGCGTGCGCGATTCATTCCAAGAGAGCTAATAAGTCTGGCCGAGATCAAAAAGATAACGGCGGTAACGTAACGCCGTCGCGTTTCAAAGGGTTAAACGTCGCGGCGTCGTTACGGTTGCATTAATTAACCGGGCATGCCAGACTTATCGCTAATGAAACTGCCACTTGATTAAGATGCAAACGAGAGAGAGAGAGAGGGAGGGAAACTTGCCGCGTACGCGCTCACGTAGTCGCCCGTCGGCCTCACCTCGCCACGACTCGCCCGATTCACCTGACGACCACCGCGCCTCGCCACCTCGTCTGATCCCGCCACGGAGAAGGCCCCGTGGAGAAGGCGCGCGCGATTGCGAGTCCATAAATCTCAATCCGTAAACTCAAACACCGCCGGAATTGCAAATCGTAAGTAACAAACTGCGGCGCAAAGACTCGCGGCATCACAACGAGGACGGCGGTGGTAGCCGCCGCCGCTCTTTGAAGCGAGAGAGAAAGGGTAAGGCGAACTTCACCACCGTCGCCGCCATCACCGCCATCACCGCTATCACCACCACTGCCGCCGTCACTATCATCCCCTTACCGCGCTTTCCCCCCCGTCGTGCCTTTGTCAATATTAGGTTTCTCCGTGATTACGTAATAAAGTAAACGTCGTTTTAACCCCTTTAGTCGGCGCTATCGACCGCCGCTCGAATTAGTTCGGTGCAAGTCATGTAAATTAGTCCCGAGCCGTAACTCAGGGGGTGGAAATTGGGAAAGGTGGAGGAGGCGACAGCGGCGTCGGTGACGGCGGCGGCGGCGACCGAGGCAACGTCGGGGGCAAGGCGGCCTTATTGCCGGTGGCGACGGGTTAGAATGCCTGAAATATTACTCCGGCAATCGGGCTGTCTAACGCGGCGGCGACGACGATGGCGGCGGCAGTGGTGGTGGTGGAGATGGTCGCGGCGCGATTAAGCGAGTTTCTTTCTCTCGGAATGGAAAGCGTCCCCGAGGTGAACAAGATAGAGAAAGAGAGAAATAAATGGAGGGGGGAGAGAGCGAGTGAGAGGGTGAGATCAAATTGCAGCGGCGGTCCCACATTCGCGCGAATGAATTATTCACACGAATAACTTCTCACGATCCGCGAAGTATCAAATTTCCTTGTGCGAGGCGAGGATGGGCGCGGAGTTTATACTTTAATCACAATTTCCTGACGAGTCTTTCGCTCGTGGTTATTCTTGGAAGTGGAGAGGAAACAACACGCGAGAGCGAGTAACGCTCTCTGCCTCCGCGTACCGAACGATCCCGTGCCAGTCGTACTTCACTTATGATAAAAGCGCTAGCGTGGCGATCGAATCGGCAGAGAAGTGTTAGTCGAGAAAATCCACATATCTGCCGCAAGACCAGACTCCTTTTGGCGAGGATTGAAAAGCTCTCGTAGATACACCGGTTGGAAGCACGAGGTTTCTGTCTCAAGCGGAGTACGTGGCGCGTCTCCTGGTTGCATGCGGGTTATCGAAACTTGCGGTGTTTCCGTCCGTAACACCGAGTCTACGCGATAAGAGCACGGAGCATGGTATATAACTCAATTTTGAGCAAATGGATACTCGTCGGTTCCTCTCGCCGATAGGGATAGGCTTCGTCAAAGTCGTCGTTCCGACTTTCTCTCTACAGCTCGCAGCTTTTACCCGTTTCGTTTTTCCTTCGCTTCCACGTGCAAAAGTATATATTGCACCGGTGACGGTGGACGAGAGTAGTAACAATAATTGTCGGAAAGCTGCAAGACACCAAATGCACGCGCCAAATACGAGCGAAATCCTCATTTTATTCTGAGGTGCGCGCTTTATCCGTAAATAAATTCGCGATAACGCTGAAATTACGGCCGATTGTGGTAAACGAAGCGCACGCCCCGTAATTCTGTAATCAGCTATGAATTATTGGACGGAAGTAAAACCACGAATAATAAATAGTAAAAAATCAATGTGAAAATATATTTGATGCTGTCGACTAAAACATAATTACACACTACATAATTACTATTGTCCTATGAAATCCTTGATTTTCGGCCTGGTGTGCTATAGAAAAGATGGAAATTCTCAATTTCATGGTTTCTACACCGACAGACCGAAATTATATATCGACGGAATAATAAGTACCGTACTTCGATTAGAATGATCGATAATTCTAATTTGCTCGGTCTAGGAACATTTTATCGTATGAAATTTATATTTCCCAACTTGGAATTTATTGGAACACGGAAATTCTCAATTCCGTGGTTTCTATAGCGATTAGACCGATATTATACGTTGACGAAATAAGCACCGCGCTTCGATCAGAATTATCGAGGATTTCGCCGAGAAAGGACAGCAGACAGAAATCGGCTGTAATTAATTTCGTTTTGCGTGCTCGTCATAACTCGGCGCTCTAAAGGAAGCAAAAATGTCGCGGCTGCGTTTTTAATCAATAAACGTCATTACGAGATAAGTGGCGGGTGGAAGATAGAAGAGTAGGCAAGCAAAGGGAGCGAGAAGGTAAATGCGTTTGTTGCTCCGATTAATGTTATCCGGCGAGTTTGCGCCCATTTCATCTCCCATCACATCGGCCACATGCCATTTTTGCGAATAATTACGACTCCTAATTGGACGTGCGCGAATCATCCTAGAAAGAATGACAATGGTCGACTCGCGGCCGGATATTTTTCGCTCGTGCGACTTGTGACGTTTAATGTGCCGTGCCACGCGGTGTCGTGTCGCGTCGTAAATCAGTGAGCTTCCGTAATGCATGGTCCTTACAAATACTATCGCCCGTGCTCGACGACTGTGTGAGTGTGAGAATGCTGGTATATATGCGTATGCACGCGGATAGAGCCTTCGCCACGATGCGCGGGTCGGTATCCGCAAAACCATCGTTCGCGGTCACTTTGCGCCGTTATCGACGATCGCCTTACTCACGTCTATAAATTCTCAGTCACGTCGCGCGCGACGCGCTTTCGAATCCGTTTTTCCCGGCGTTCGGGACGCGACGCACCCGGGGTGCAAAATTTCTCGCGCGTCGACTGGAAAATTCGAAGGACGCGCGAAATGGAGCACGACGTTGCCGGGTGTAAAGCGAGCGCGCGGCGAAAAAACGGAAAGCGAGAAAGTATAAGAGAGGACATAAATATTAATTTCGCCGTCGTAGCCACGAGCTTAATCCATCGATGCGAAAACCACTCGCATTATCTAGAGGGAAAGAGCGAGAGAGCAAGAAAAAGAAAAAAGAAAGAGAGGGAACAAGTGTGGGAAGTGCCGACACTTTAATAGTATTCGCCAGCACAGGCGTGCGACAATTTACCAAATAACTGCGATTCCTCTCCTCCCGCGAGCGGAGCGGAAAACGCGGAGCTCGATGATGTATCGCTTTATAACAAAGAGGATTTATCAACGTCAATTTGGCGTGCGGGAAGGTACGCGTCTTGCGGCCGGCGACCCGACTATAACGAAGAAACGACGGCGGTCGAGGGTGCAGCCGGGCGGTTAATTTCGCTCGCGCCGTTATCGCGGGGACGTTAGAACAACGAACGGGGTTAATTAATTGCGGCCCTTTTTTAATTTGTCTCGCTAGACGCCGGGATTACCACGAAATTTTTAAACCGATACGTCCGCTGGCGGAAGCGCTGAATTACTCGGTATCTCGTTGAAACGCGACAACGGGGCACCGCGGGAATTTGTCGAACCCGAACGTCTCGCGACGATAAACGAGCCGTGCACAGTCTCCCCGGGAGAGAGAGAAAGAGAGAGCTTCGAAGAGTCGATTTATATAAAAACAAGTATCCGCTCCGTGAAACATGAAGAAGTTAAAATACGTATCGGCTGAACGTCAATTGATTTAATGCGGTTAACCCAAGTTTATATTTTCGATCTCGGAGCGATCGCTCGACATACGGCTACTTCAAGAATTCGCACCGAGCTGAAAAGGGCCCTGCATTGCTAAGTCGCCTCGCGAAACACTTGAATCATCATGAAAAACAGCGCGCAAGATGGGACGCAAGATTAATTGTCCCCGTTCTAAATTAAGTTATTCACTTTGTTATGGTGCTTGAGCTATCGCACGGCGAGATACATGGCGCGTGATAAAGTAGTAAGAGTGCGGGAAAAGAGAGTCGCTAGAGAGAAAGAGAGAAAAGGCGAGCAGAAAATGAGAAAGAAAAAAACAAAATGGGGAAAGGGGGGAGGGAGAGAAAGAGAGAGAACTGTAGGATTAATGAGAAGGGAGAGTTTATGATCCCACGCTTAAAATTCGTCGCGCTGCTTATGCAGAGGGCGTTGGTGCTGCGAACACGTAGGAGCACCTGAAAAGACTTTCAGATTCGGTGCATATCTCATTCAGGGTCGCGTATTTTTGTCTAAACGAATTCGTGTCTAGACGAATTCACCTGCTCTCGTTTCAAAACACATATATTATAATATATGTATAATCGTACATGAATAATCGTGTATAATTATCACGGATTGCGTTCTACACAAGCCGGATTTAAACCTGAAATTAATCGATTTGATCGGACGTTTATTATAAACGCGGCTTTCCCCCTATCCACTTCTATAAACCAATTCTATTATCGAGTTTGTGCCAAACCTCATTACTTCGAGAGACGTCTCATCTCACATACGACAACGACGGTGCACGGAGCTGCCATTAGTAGCAATTATTAAATCGGAGCGCCATTTAAACGCCATTTAAACGCGATCAGACTACGGGCGAGATGAAACGTTTCTTGGTCGCCGACAAACGACCCAACGGGACATACTTTTATTCGGACGTTACTCATGCGACGAATGAAATAATTTTCAGTCAGCCCGCTGGAGGTGAAGATAATTGGCGGTAACCAGCCGCTGTCGGCCGGCAAGAGATACGACTTGGTCTGCACAACTTCCGGCTCCAGGCCGGCGGCCGGCGTCACCTGGTGGAGAAACGGTCAGCGCTTAGTGGATTCCAAGGAGACCGTAAGTGTGCCCTCGACGGAACAATTTTCGTCCTCACGCTCGCGCGCGCGCGCCTCCGCCCCAACGGGATATATTTCGCCTTGCCGAGCTATTCCCGGCTCGCGCGTAAAAGTCGCACTGGCAGCCTTAAATAAGAGAGACCGTCGGCTCTTTCCATCGATACGCGATAGCACGGGCTGCTTCTCGTCAACGTTCTGACAGACGACTGGCGTATCAGTGGATACCCAAAGTCGAAATATCACGATCCGGCTTTTGATCTCTATTCCATTCAACATCTACTTCGAGATTCTGGCTTCGAGACTTCAACCTCTTTTGATTCTATTTAACCTACTAGCTTTACCAAGAAACTAGAGGCTTTAAATAGAAGCTCTTTAGAACCTACAAGTTCGCATTTTGTGCGTTTCCTGCTGTTCAGAGGCGCTGAATAAGACTTCAGTTTTCATGTGTATTAAATGCTCTTTCACACACATACTGCTTCTTCACAATATACAGACTCTAGAAGGTAGGACTAAAATTTCAACCCGAGTGTGCGCGGCCGTGGGATCGGGTTATAATCCTTCGAAATGACGCGCGCGAAAGAAATGTTACATCGACTTTAAACGAGCGTTTCGATTAAGCAAAACGAACGACAGAGCGTCAAGTGAACACAGTAGTTTCCGAATTGTCCGGCCGTCGTCTCTTTCTCGTTCGATACATTAAAAGCGCATCTATCACGAGCTGGAGAGCTTCGCACTGTTCGTGCCTGAACGTTCGCGATTTCCCACGTACACATTGTCGTTGCACCGTCACGGAATCGCCTGGGATGCATCTCCGTACAAAGCAACGAGAAAGAGAAAGAGAGAATTTCTCTCTCGGATCTAATTTGTATTCGATTCTTTTTCCCAACGTGAATGAAGGACGGTCTGACGCGCTCGTCGATTCGCCGTTCACGGTTACGTTTTTTTCGCGCGATGCGGGACTCGCATATTATCGCAAATTATCTTAATCACGTGTTTGCGTTTGGCATCTGATTAATCACCGTGACAACGCATTAGCGAAAGAAGCGACGATTAATCTCCCGCACGAGCGCGAATGTCGCCCCATTTGGTTGACATGTGTCTTCTAATTTCATCGCGGTCGGAGACTGCAATTTCCACGTTCAATTTCCGTGGATTAAGCGACGGACGCGCGCAAAAAAAAGAATAAAAAAGGGAAAAAACGAAGAAGCTGCGACCGATTACGTGATTGACTGCCGCTCAACGACGACGGTGGCGTTCACGGTGCAGGGATTATGCCTAATTGATGGAAAATGCGAAATGGAAATGTCTTTAAAAGACGACTTCGCGTTACGCGCTCTCATTGCACGACGCGATTCGACATCGGTCAATCGTAAAGATACGAGAACGCGCGGAGTAGTAATAAGAGTTAATGACTCATACGTGATGGATATCAACTTGCAAAATTGCAAACGAAGGATATTATTATTAACGTTCCAAGCACCGTTCGTCGAGAGTCAAAAGTGCTTATTATTGTCGGTTCTTTTCACGTTTTCATCGTCATGTTTTATTTTCTATAATTTCTCCTCCCGAAGGAGAAAGAGACGTGCTCACGTTCCAGACGCGAGGCGAGTAATAACACGTTAATTAACAGTCTGAGAACGAATTTCATCAGTGCGTTGGGGAGGGTGGAGGGGAAAATGGAACGACGGTATGTCGGAAGACTCTCGCGAGCCAATTGTTTACCGCACGATTGGGATGTACCGTTCGCGCGGAAGTCTCTTTGGATAAACTGTGTATCGATTCGCCGTAGAATTGAAAATGAAGTAGCATAAAAAAAAAAGGAAGCTAAAAACTGTTTTAACGATATTGCTGTCGAAACGCGAATGCACGCGATGCACTACGACGGAAAAAGCGAGCGGGGCTTAACATTTCATCGTTACGGAATTAATCAACGTTATTAAAATAAGGAAGCGCGTGTCGAGGAAAATCGATAAATCTAATTACGGCGCGTCTAGAATAAAGAATATCTCGCTGAGGCGATTACGATAATACTTGATCTATGAGAATTCTCTCGTGTGCATGCTCTTCCCTTTCTCCTCCGTCTTTTTCTCTTCCTGCCACCTTCACCTCTCCTCTCTTTTTCATTCGGACACAATTCATTAATTCATTCGATTTCATTTTGAGCGCGCGCGGAATAAATTCCGATTTAACATAAAACGAACGTTTCTGTCCGGGCGCGCCGTTTCTGTCGCGCGAGGAAACGGATGAAGGTATTTCGTATACAAAGCAAACAAACGTCAATGGGGACGCGGATTAGCGACGAAATGAAAGAACGTACTTTCGAATAAATTGACCCGTTGTCGGGCGAAATCGAGCATCGGCGCTGTTTATTCTACATCGATTTCTCCCCGCCGGGATATCCCGATAAAACACACCGGGTGGTGTACAGGAAAGCGCGAAGTGAGGCGACGCGACGCGCCGGGTCCGCGCTTCGTATCCGTCGCGTTTTGATCCGCACTTAAGACGACGACGTAAATATTTGCCGCGAGTGGATTAAGGACGGCGGCGGCGGCGGCGGCGGCGACGACGACGACGACGATGACGGCGACGGCGGCGACGAAGAAGAGCCCGCGGTACAGGGAAAATATTGTTTCAAAGTCGATACTCTCGCGACTCGACACTGGAGATTGTTTCGCCGCTTACGTAAGAAAGTTAAACAGAAACGACGGCCGAAGGAAAATACAACGAGAGGTCCGTTATAATCCAGCCTGCACGCGACGGAATGTCGTCGACCACTTCTCATCTCGGTCTTTCTACCATCACGCAGTTGGACAAGTTCCCAGACGCCGTACTCCGGATCGAAATTTCGGTTCTACATTAACTCTGCAAATTTCGCCGAACTTAATGGACTAATGGAGAATCTGCAACTCTAATACTATACAGACTCTCTATTCTAATGTTCTCTCGTTGTTGTAAATGGTTACCCCTCCAAAGTACAATCAGTATATTCTTCTTTGAAATGATATACTTATAACTGGTGCTTCAATTATGAGTATAGCGCTGCAATCAGTGAAATCTCATTGAAAGGATCAATTAATAGTGGTAAACTATTCCATTGCTAATGCGCTTTGCGAGCACACACAGTCATCGCACGCAAGACGCATGAAAGCCGTTAATTCAATCGTCACAGAAAGTTGAATTTGGCATAACGTATGACAAATCTGTGTACTCTTCAAATTTCGCAGTGAAGAATAAAACGAAGCAATAAAGTTTTCTTTATTCGAAACCAATTAATACCCGCTAATCATCCGTGAAATAGTTCTTTCACCGATTCACTATGAGAGAATACTCACTGCCGTTTTCTTCGTGTTGAATTTCAATGAAAGACTTGTTTCGAAATTATTTAATATTCGATTGTATTTCCACATTGCATTTGCATCGAATCTTCGTCCTTAATTATAATAAGCAATGTGTTAATTATGTAACTTGTGCAAAGAGCCTCTATGGTCCGCGCAATTGCACGGCCAGATTCACCGGCTACGTGTACACACATAATACCTCGAAAACGAGTTTCGCGCCGGAATATTTTTCCCCGCTCGAATCGCCTGTGAAATTGCAGCAATTACATTAATCGATCCGACCCCGCGGGCCGTGCGGGCGCGACCGGAAATATATTTTTAATGGATAGCGCATCTCATTTCGTAATTATCTTCATGCGAGCCAACGCGGCGCGGCGCGAACCTACGCCGCCATCGGAACGAAATTAGAGCGTGCCTGCCGCCGTTGATTTATTTCCCGGCAAGACGCGAAATTTATTATTCGCGCTCGCGCCCGGCCGCGTTCCGCCTCGCGATTATTTTTTAATCGCGCGACAGGACGCCAGGAAAGAGAGATAGAGTGAGAGAGAGAGAGGGAGGGAGAGGAAGAGCTGGCCGCATCCAGGCGCTGCACGCGTGAGATTGAAGGCTGCTCGGCCGCGCGCGTCCGCTTTTTCAAATGTCACGGAGTTGGAAAACCGCGCAAGGGAATATTTTGAGGTTTTATCAGGTATTTTGCTTTATTTCGGGCGCAAGGAAATGAGTAATGAGAAACGATGCATTGTTCCGGCCACGTTGCTCGCGCACGTGACGCCTCGTTTTGTTACCGTGCGAGGAGCACGAAACGCGACCCGGGCTTTCATTGGTCCGGAGACGCGGAGCTCTTGCACAAGTGCGACTTATAACTTGCGAATTGCTTTTGCAAAATGCGACGAATATTATATGAAATCTACACGTATTGCGATAGCGAACTCAATTTTTCGTCAGCCCCACAACTTTTGCATTGCACAAAATAGCAAACACGCGTATTTCAATGCGCGGATCATGATATGTGGGAAATGCGCGAGATGAGCACGGACGAGCGAGGATATCACTCGTCCTCTCTCTCTCTCTCTTTCTCCCCGCACACCGTGAGCTCGCCGTAAGGTCAGAGGAACCTCTCTCGCGAACTAAACGGACAGCCTGGAATTTATTCTATTCCGAAAATCGAGCCGGAAACGACCGCGGATGTTAACTTTGCCAGACGCTTTAACTTGGAAATGACGACCAAACGCGGAAAAATACAGAATAACCTTGCGCTCCCAAGTTTAATGTCTGAACGAACAAAAAAAATAAAATAAAATCGCCAAATGCAAATTTCGCGCTCCTCCACCGCCCCTCGATATTTCAGACGGAGAATAATAGTATTTGTTCGGGCAACAGCGGAAAAAGAGGAATTCTCGTGCGTGTGTTTCATGATCGCGCCACCTACTCTCTGATCGATCGTTATAAAAATAACATGACGCGTCCCTCGCGCTTTGACGATGTCCTGTGATCGAAATCTACGTGTGGAAAAAAATTCGTCGCCCCTTTCTTCCCGCGCGACACGTGTTATTTACTCGCGCCCGGCATTCACCGCTATCAATCGACACAGGTCGCTATTTACCGAAAGCTAACTGGCAAATAACTGATTTACCGAAAAGGCGGCTTTGCTCCGCTTTCACACTTATACCCATCCCCACACACACACACATGAACCGAATCCTCCAATTGCACCGGCCAGATGGGGGATAAATTTCGGCGACCGTATCAACAGAGAGCAGTTAGCCGGCCACTCGACGTAGCGCGGCCGTCCATTAAGGCATCGATTCTCCTTAATTGCAAACGCGAATCCGCTCGCGTGGATGCGCGCCGCGTTATTCGGATTTAAATTATTCGTCGCCTAACGACGCTTTTACCGAGGCTCTGCGACGGCGGTCCCGCGATAACGATAATTCACGCACCACCACCATCACCTACGACGACGACGACGCACACGTGCAATTCGACGTGCACACGCGAGGGACACACACGACGAGCGTCCAAGCGAGAGAGGCACAGCCTTATTTTACGGCCGCTTTAAGGAAGTTGCAAGCCGCTCGGTGGTCGCCGAGCTCGCAAATTACGTTGAGTGCGCGGCCCGACGGTGTAAATCGAATCGGAAGACCGTCTCGACGCGACTTTACGCGGGGATGCGCGTCCGATCTCTCCGGCAAAAAAGAGAGAACTGTCTATAAACGGCTCGAACGAGTTTTTCCACGGTGAGAGAACTGATCGATCGTCGTCATCAACAACGAAGACGACTCCAGCCGGCGACCCGTACGATATCGTGCGGCAAATGAAAAACCGAGCGAAATCCTTCGCGAACATGCGCGCTTCTTCCAACGCGATCGTGTAAACCCGCAGGAACTCGAGGAGCTCTATCAACCTACCCATCCACCCAACCACACCTATCTACTTTGGGGGTAACACCTTGAATAATTCAATAAAACCCGACGTAATGACGGTGCGACCTTGAAGGATAAGAGGACCACTTTTTCGTAGTTAGAAAATAGGCCGAGCGACCTTGCGAAAGGAGAGTAACGAGAGATTGATCGGGAACTTGGACTGTGGTTGGACCCTCGCGCAGGTGATAGGATAGACCGGCGGTGATAGATAGGCTTTTAATGTATGGGGCGAACAATACGTTGTCGGCGACAGCACGGCACGACACGACACGATAGGATAAAATAGGATACGATACGACGCGATATGAGAGTGCTGAGCTACTGCTTCGATTAGGGAGGGAAAAAAAAGAGGAAGGAAGTGGGGGCGGGTGGCGGCAATGGCGGACTGGTGACGTTATCATAATGTTGTTACAGATCTCCGTCGATGGGAACATGACCACCAGCGTTTTATCTTTCATGGCGACGAAAGCGGACGCTGGGAGACACTTGTCGTGTCAAGCTGAAAATCGAATCATGGGAACCGCGCCGATAGAGGACGGCTGGGTGCTCCAGATACAATGTAAGCTCATAAACGACGCCCAGGCCTCGGCTCCTACTCGGGGGAGAAGCGCGCCGCCGACGCTCTTTCCTTATTTATTCAGACGCGCGGCAATCCGGTCGATTTTGACGGTTTATCCGAAGGTCGTGATTCGCAGACACGCCGGAGACGCAGATCCAACTCGGCACGTCGCTGAACCCAAACACGATACGCGAAGGCACGGACGTCTACTTCGACTGCCTCATACAGGCCGAGCCGCCGGTCTACAAGGTGGAGTGGCGGCATCAAGTAAGTCGGAGACTGCCTTATTTTTGTAAAAACAGTGTTTGGTAGGACCTCCCATACGTTTGATCTCAAAGATCACTCGAATCACGGCAGATGTATTCAATTAGCGCATACATCCGACAATTCCGCATCATCGTAAGATGGTTTAATGATGGGATCTGTGTGTAGAGAAATAGAGTAGGTTTGGCTGCCGGATTGCAGTAATATCCTTTATGGATTTCTCTCCAGTATTTTGTAAACATTTTAATCCGTTTCATCAGGGAGAGGAGCAACCTGATAGTGATACAAGTTGCTTTTCTCCCTGATGAGGTGAATTGAGATTTTCACGAAACGTTGCAAACAAATCCCCAAAGAACGCGACTACAATCCGGAAGTCAGATCTAGCACGATTGCAATTTTAGAGAGAATTGAGTCCAAAGTACGAAATCTCCTCTTTCACCAAACTAATTCAACACGTTGATTGCCATGGGAACACTAATGACTGGTATATTGCCGCGTTTCTCTCAGTAATAACATATAAAACGTAATAGCATGTACAACAGTAACAAATTAAATATATAACCTATAAAAAGTCAGTAAAACAAGTTAAATATGTACAAAATAACATATATTACGATAAGTATATATATATATATATATATATATATATATATATATATATTGTAAATCACACTTATTTACAGCATTGTTGGCGATTTGAATTTGACTTGAGCATCGAAATAATCCATGAAAATAAACTTGGCAGTCGACGTGTTATACGAGAAGCGAAACATGCAGCTTGCACAAGCGCGGTATTATGCAAAATAATGTTAACTACCGGGAAAATTCCGAGATACGAATTATACAGATAGTCACCACTCTCTCTCACGTCTCTCTCAGCGGTACAAAAGTCCGCGTTTAAACTTAATTTAGTCGGAAGTACTGTTTAGCGGGTTTACTTTATCTCGCGGAATACCGCGTAACGCTCGGAATAGCTATAGCGCGAGCACCTACTTCTACACGCAACATTCAATTCGACCGGGAAATACTTCCGAGAGAAACTGGGATACTTATTCCTTTCCGCACCGAGCGCCCTCTCTCCCGCGTCTTCGTCATCAAACGATCAAACGAGCTGTCAATCGTACGCGAAGAGCGCGCGAGTGAATCGCGTTCATGGTTCGCGCAGCAAGTTCTGAAATCGCAGGATCGTAAATAGATTCAGGCCTCTCGGCGACTAACAAGCTCGATTATGCCTGCGTTCGCTTGCGACACGCGAGAACGAGACTTAAGACCGGATACAAACTTGGGCGCTCCGAGACATCAAACTTTTATAATAACTTCCGTCATCCTAAGCAACCCCTCGTCTTGCCTAACTGCACAGCTAGAGAGGTTCTCCGATTCGTACACACATACGTAACACACCAGTGCGCACACATGTAGAATAATAATCCTCGCGCCCCGGCGAGACTCAATCTACGGACGAGGAGGCGCCAATTACTATGTTTCTTCTCTAGGGCAAGGCGCTCCATCATAACATCACGCAGGGCATCATAATCAGCAACCAGAGCCTGGTGCTGCAGGGGGTCGATCGCAAAAGCGCCGGCAATTACACGTGCGTGGGATACAACACCGAGGGCGACGGCGAGAGTTCGCCGTTTTATCTCAACGTGATGTGTACGTATCTCACCACCCTGCGCGTTTCGTTCTCTCTTTCCCCCTTTCTTTCTATTCTCCCATGCGTCCGACGAGGAGGATTTATTCCACGGTAATACGCGGAGGCTGAAACTGAGAATCGCGTGGAGATCGCGCGGAAAATAAAGCGCGCAGAAACGCGCTTTATACTCTGTTAATTCTCAAACGTAGAATTTGCCCCGTTAATTCTCAAACGTTAATATCAACGATGTATGAAGAAGCGACGTGTATATTTTAAAAATATATACACTCTCGCGCGTCCGAATGCGATGCTGGGTTTCCAGTAAATTTCACCGCGGAGATATTGTTATAATGATACAACACACATTAATGGCGCTGGGATTTAATTAAAAAATATTCGATGAGGTATTTTGGAAATGTTTGAGGAACGTGCATCGAGCTCGACGCGTTTTAATTACGTGCGCGTTCCACTTGGTCTTAAATATTCTACCTATTCCAGAAAAAGCTGCCATTGTTTGACACCATCATACGATGACAACGACGACGACGACGACGACGACGGCGCGTCCATCTTAATCCTCCCGATAATGAACTAACAGAGTCTAGCAAGAAAACGTTTTTTCAAGAGGAGGATTATCTCCTAGATCTTTCACAGACTTTCAGCGCATAAAGTGGAACATATAATCGGATTATCGCGAATTGCTTCGTCAATCGAATGATTAAAGCGCCGATTGAATCCGCTCGATGACAATTAAACAATTGTCCCAATGATCCGTCGCGCGTTAAGAAGCGGCACGTAAACGCCGGCGACCCCAGCTGTCGGTTGGTAACTGTCAGCAACAACGGGGGACACATACGCGCCTCGTTCGATTAGCTTTAATTAATAACGGATTATAATACGTGAAGGTTCCGAATTCCCCCCGGTAAATCCGTATTACCGTGAAATTTTCATTGCGGCCATGCATGCGTGCGTGCGCTCGCGCTTATGAATGTCTCTCATGCTTACTATGTAATGAGCGCTGTTTGCTTGACACGAGCAGATTATCGGACGCAATGCCGAAATATTTCGGGATCGCGAGATAGTTTTGTTAATCAATATTTACACTTGCCGCTGCGAATGGCAATGGCAGGCCGGACGAACGTACGGACGGATGGATGTCAGACGACTCGCTGTCGAGATTCATTAGGTCGAGAACGCACAGAGGAAAACTTAAGCAGTGAGCAAATTTATCAACCACAGGCGATGATTCTTCTTACGGTTCAAGAATGATCGATTGTGATTGGTAAATGTTCTTACTGTTGATGTTTTTTGTGTGCCCTTTTACATCGAGACTGTGCCACCACGGTCGGCTCGGCGCTTTTAACGCGGAAATTCACGGCTAAAAGTGATAATAAGCGCACTATTAACATAATAATATTCATACGGTCGGTTTATGAAAGAAAACGATCGCAAAAATAAACGGATTTGAGAGGAAAGTCTCCAATTAAATTAAATCCAATTTTGTTAAAAATTTCGCGGCTTTTGTTTAACGCCGAAAATCATACTGGCGACCCGTGTTCTTTTTTGCAACATAAAAAGGAAAAAAATAATAAGCACATCAAGTTTTGAGAAAAACATTTTTTACTTAAATTTTAATTTAACTGTTTTATTATGTAATATCGAAAATTAAAATATTTATGCAAATTGAGCTTCACTCGTTCATTCGTTTACGTAAAAAAACCATTTTTCACATAATTCCACGAAAATAATTGAAAGATTCGTGATATAATAATGGATTTTCTAACTGCTAAATGTCAAGAATGAAATTGATCTTTATTAAATTTTTATTAAATGCGTTTGTTTCTCTCTCTCTTTACTTCTATTTTTAGACTAGCTTGACAAAATCTACGGGCAATTTAATACATGGCAATTTCGAAATGGTACGAAGGACTTTCGCGTATATAATTAATCGACCTAAATTTTCCTGTCGGGCTTTTGCGAAAGAGAGAGACACGACAGATTGTGTTGGGAATAATAATAAACCGTATAAACCTTCCAAGTGATAACGTGACAAAAATTCCCGATTGATTATATTGATCGATAAGCGAACGACCGATTTTCGTGATCCGCAGTCGCGCCCACGTGCAAGCCGAACCAGACGAAGGTGCACGGCGTGGCGAAGCAGGAGAAAGCGAATATATCCTGCCAAGTGGACGCGAATCCGCCGGAAGTGCAGTTCCGCTGGACCTTCAATAACTCCGCCGAGAGTATCGACGTGTCGGCCACGCACATCGCGCGCGCTGGCACATCCTCCATCGTCTCGTACACACCGCTGACGGAATTAGATTACGGCACGTTACTCTGCTGGGCCAGCAATCACATCGGGCATCAACAAGTGCCCTGTGTCTATCACATCATACCGGCGGGTAAGATATCGCTCGATATTCGCGAAGACGGCGCGAGGACAAAAGGGTGGCTTTTCAACCGGAAGGGTGAGAGGTCTCGTTGTGGTCACCGTAAAATCACGCGGTGAGATAGAAACCAATCGCGACCGAATGAAATGTAACTTCTTTCTCGTTTTCTTTTTTGCTTGCCTCTTAATTCGCTTCAGTCGTTTTTCGCGCCGGGATTACGATCGACACGAATGTAGAGGAATAGAGAGGAATTTCCCTGTAAAAGAGAGGAACGTAGAAAACGCAGGCGATTTCCCGACCGTCTCGTCGGGAATTTTCAAAGGATTTCGAAGATTCAGACTTTTACGCTCTTCTGCGCAAAATGAATTCCCTATCGGTCAGCTTTGTTCGTTTTTTCCGCCAATTAGCAAAGCTAACAATAAAACATGCGCCGAGACGGCCTTAACTCTTCCGTGGAGAATGGAAACTTTATGCTAATGTAAGATCGGGATATTGTTCCGGGTCTCCAAAGTTTCGCGCGTTTACGTAATTGAATAACTAATTCGGGGCCTTGGTGCAAAATTGGAAAGACGCGCGCAGCGCGTGTTATGAGAATAAATTGTTCAATTAAGCGTGAAACGTGAAATTCCGAGGGCACTCGTGATCGCGCAGCCGGAGTTCCACGAGCGTTATCACCAAAACGATATCAATTAATCGCGCGTGCGCGCGTTTGTAACGCGTTGAAATCGCAATTCATCAATTCGCGATTCGAATGTCAGGAATTTTTAAATTGCGGACAGAATCACGACTGCGTCTACGTCCGCGTCGTAATGTGACGACACAAAGAGAACGCGGACAATTAGTACGCTCTATCAAATATCTCGAAGCACGTTGGCAGAGACGCAGGTACCGATCGTAGTACGTTGCTTGATTTTCAGTGAAAATCCAGTTTAGAAAATCCGCCACAAGACTAACGGACGACGGTGCATCGTCGCCGCCATTATTTTGCTGTCGCCGCCGTGCGGCTTCCGGCATATTGATGCTCGAGTTACCAATTAATTGTCATTCGCGGGACGTGCTATCGGATCACTGCGACGCGCAAAGGAAATGAGTGCACGCGAGCGCGAAATACAAAAGCATAAAAGAAAACAGCTTTTGTCTTTCACGCACACACACACACACACATACACACACAAACATCGTCACGAGAAACGAATCCGACACGGTCGAGGTAAAAAGGGGATGAAACGGCAGCAAAACGATGAGACCGCGCAACGGTAGCAGGTGTCCGGCGCAATGATTTCTCAGCAACCATAAACGCGAGAACAACTCGTCGCATATTCTTCCCCTTATTTCCTTTTCTTTATTTCTTACCCGGCGCGTCCGCGAGTATTCCCGTTGTCGAGTACAAGCCCCTTTTCGCCAGCCGCAGAATGCGCAGCCGGCTAATACCTTTACGGGAAAAACTAGACAACAGTTACAAGTAGCTCGTACGCGCCAACACGCCGTAAACCAGATTTACAGACCAACTATCACGCCCTGATTCGCGAGTGCCGGTCGACCAACAGGAAACTGCGACACCAAACAACTGACTCCTTTTCTTTATTCTTGTCCGCGTACGCGCGCGAGAAACGGTGAGACCGTCGTTCTCTCGAAAACATCGAAGCGAGGTGTACACACCCTCGGTATTGGCCGATAATTCATTTATCCCCGCAATTCGATTGTGCCCGCACCGAATGGAGAGACGGGCAAACATTTCAATCCGGTACCGTCAAACCTTTGAAAAATAACGGTTTATTCAAAACATTGAAACAAATTTGATATTCGGTAGTCGTTTTCACGGAGGAGGACCGGCAGGGCTAAAATGGAAGTAAAAAACTTGGATATAAACGTCAAAACTTTCGATATTTGCGTCATAAAATACGTTATGCATTTACCAAAATTCAATTTTATATTTCCGTTTTGTCAGGACGGCTGTCTTTTTTTTTTACGTGATCGTTAATTATTCCCCATTGTCCTTCTTATTCGTCGCAATATTGACTTCCCGACGCGAGAGCGCGTCGATCGTCCCTCGAAGGAAGGGCATCGCGAGGTCGCGTTCGCGGTGAACTCTACTCGCCTCCCCCTCTTCCGAGTGGTGGCGAAACGGCGACGTTATCGCGAACTTCTCGTGCTCATTACGAGCTGTTACGAGCGCGAATAGTTCCGTGCGCGTGCAAGTACATTTTAAAAGCCAGGGGAACCTTATCCGTGACAGGCCGGCCGGACATGGTTCACAACTGCACGACCTCAAACACGTCGACCAATTCGTTCTCGGTACGATGCGCGGAGGGCTTCAACGGTGGCCTACCGCAGTCCTTCCTGCTGGAGGTGCGCGAGAGCAATACTCAAGAGTTGCGTGCCAACCTGACGTCGACAACGCCGCGCTTCAGTGTCACTCAGCTGGAGTCGGGCGTCCTTTATCAGGCCTGCATATACGCCTACAACGACAAAGGTCGCAGCGAGGCGATGGTGGTGCAAGCCGGCACTCTCCGACTGCCAGAGAAGCAATTGACATCCGAGTCAGGTGAGTGCGCCATGCCACTTCACCGTGGAACTCATGACTAAGCGGCAGACACGGCGACGCAGTTAACGACGAAATGAATATTCGGAAAACCGGTGACACTCGACGATTGGTATGGCGGTCGAGCCAGCTCTCGGGAATGTCTGCTGTCCGAGTAAATTGACACTAATTCAATGTTCGTAAAAATTCTCGCGAGTAATGTCAGCAAAGTTCCGAGAAGTTCGATAGTTCTTCAACGAGCTTCGGCACTTGGAAGTTCCGCGAGGAAGTATCGCCCCGAGAAAACTAACGCGGCCTACATGAGTGCGCACTTTTCGTGAACTCTTTCGTTCGCGAGATAAAAAATTCTTTATCGCAGGTAACCAGCAATATCGCGTTTCGAGCAGCGAGATTATTGTAAATGGAAAGCGCCAATTTCAGGAAAGCAAAATTGGAGAACTTAATTAGCTCGATGAAATTCCATAGAGCAAATAAAATTCCATTTTCATAGTGTATTGAAAAAAAACCGGATAATTAGATTTACGCTTTTTTCTCTGTCTCTCTTCAGAGAGTCTACGATTTTTTTTTTTGAGAAATATTTGCACAGGCTTGATAGTCTTCTCAATGATTTTCCCGGATAGTATAACGCCACTCCTCCGACATCGATACGCACTTGATATTACGTAATATGTATAATCTGAGGAGATTATACGCGGCCCGTCTAATTACGAAAAAATTTCGCACGAATCGCATCGTACCACGGAGGGCATCGCCAATTGGTCAGATTGATGAAAAGCTATCGGCTCAATATTAATTCGCCGATTGAGTCGCGTAAAAAGCTGCCGGGCGCTTTTATGGCCGCGCGGGAAAGCAGGTCAGGGATTTGCGATTTAATACTATCGGACGATTTTCCCGTTATTTGCCCGATACGATTGTTATCGTAATTTTTAATTCGTCTGCCACCGATTGGATCACGCTTTTCATAACTTTGTGTGGAATAGCGCACTGTGGTGCATTACGCATTGCATTTTATGGAGTGCACGAATAAATCAAGCATCACACGTCAAATGTCTTTTGTTTCTACCCTCTCTATTTTTTTCGCAGAAACTTGTTACATGTGTCAAATACGCCAAATGCGTGATACATTATTTGGCAGCGACTGTGAAACGGCTTCTAAAATGCTATCTGATCCTACATAACACGACGTCTAGGATTGAGACATAAGACATTTTGAAGACGTCTTAAAAAGTCTTACTCTCTTAAAATGATGAGTTATACATCACTGAAAACAGTGAATATACATTGATTTGCAGTTATAAATATAGCACTGAAAGTACTCAGTGCTATACTTATAACTGATATCAGTGACTATTCACTGATTCAAAAGAGTTTTGTGTCTCAATTTTGGATATTATGTGGGATTCCTATAATCGAGTATCATATCATTCCTAAAAAAATTCGATATTGTATCGAAGTCTTAAAGTGTTTAAAATACTATTCTTTTTATAAAAACGAACGTCACTCAAAATGTAGCGTTAAGCCAAAATTTTCGTACAAAGACGCGTAGTTAGCCGAACCGTTCGATCAATATCGAGATTGATTCTCAACCGTTGGACCGAACGCGTTTACAGAACGACCGAGACAGCACGTCAAACTGACACCGATGCTGAGCGTGATGATCGGCGTGGTGACAGCCCTCATCATCGTCGCAGTTATAGTGATGGTCGTTTTACGGATTCAGCACACGCACGTGGACGAGCACAACAAATCGCAAATGGAGGATCACGCGAAGCAAACGAAAGCGGTTCCCATACAGAGAGAGTTAAGATTCCGGGAAGGGTGTAGCCTACTCGCGGACGAAAAACACCCCAGCAGCCCGTTCAGAAAGCTAGATACCAGCGGCGATCTGAGCGAGAGCGACGAGAAAAATCCGGATATTATTCCGCAACAGATTACTGGTTTGTATATAGCCGTAAGTGACTCGATGCCGGTCGTATTGCTAATAGCAAATGCGGTAAAAAAGAAAAAAAACATGAAAAATAAATAGAGTAGCGAATTTAGAATTATCACAATAAAAATTATAATATGGCAGAATTGGTACAAGAAATATGAAGGTTTTATCCTTCCCGAGTACACCACGAATTTATCGCGTAATAAAAAGAAGAAACGCGAGCACGCAAGATTTATGCAAGTATCGTGCTAGTATCCGAAAGTATGTATATACATGTTTTATGCGGGAGAAGTGAAAGAAAAACCTGACCGATAAAACTCCTTTACTACTCGGCTCCTCCGCGCGTTTGTCAATTCTTTTCTTTTTTTTGTCCTTTCTTTTCGTTTATCGGAACACGCTCGTAAAGCTCTCGCGACGTTTTCGGTCGTAAAACTTTCGCGAAATTTCTCTACAGGAGACGAACCATCGGAATACTTAAGGAAGAGACGTCTGGTGTCAACGATCGAGACGTCACCCTCGAGGAGTCTCTTGGAACACTCCACGGTGACTTCCATCAGCGGACACAGCAGTTACGTCGGTTACTGCACGATTCGCAACGGCATGCCGCTACACGAGTTCTCGAACTTGTCAACGAAGCACAAAAGCGTAAGTCTCATCGCGGACTAAGTGATGCAAATACCTCACAGATATTACCGTGGGCATTTGACAAAGTAACAAAACTTGAGAGTATCAGCTAAAAAGTGGGCCTTAACCGTAACTTTCACAGTTATTTGATATTTTTATAAATATTTGAACGATAGATATCAATGCAGGTTGTAATATAAGAACAATCAAGAACAAAATATAAAAGATATAAATATAAAAGAAGAAATATAATAATATCCTTCTTAACCAAAAAAGAATAAATAAATCTTTAACTTTTAAAACTATCGGCTCAGATAAAATTTTTCACGCGTACGTAATACAAGTATACGCAAGTCGAAATTCGGTTCGATATTAATCCTGCACGTTCCATCGAACGTGAAGCTTTAATAACGAACCACTTATATAGACTATTCTTACCTTGATACTGCAAAACGCTGCTTACTGCTATTTTCTTCACGTTGAATAAGTTCAAAGAAGCACTTGTTCAAGAATTATTTATCGCAATATTATTTATTGTTGAATTATTTGTTTGACGTTTTAATTTTTATTGTTAGTTTCGATTGACGATATATTAATTACATTACTTATTTAGCGGCAAATTGAGAACGCGTTAAATGTATAAAATTAATTAAAGGTCCGTGAATAAATGGATATAAAAGAGATAACATTATTCTCGTATCTTCCAAGGTTGCATTCCAAACCTTCCTTTTCGAGGAAAAGTTTACTGAAAATCTATGTATATGTTATTCAAATATATTATATATGTTACACACATATACTATAAATTTTCAGTAAAATTTTTCTCAAAAAAGATATTTTTTAATGTAATCCTAAGTCGTAATTCATTTCGATGTCTTGGAATAAAATGACAAAGACACGCAACGCGCGCGCGGCGCGATAAAAACTGTCTCTTCGCAAAAAAAATGTCAAAATTAAGTGCACGGTTGCATCGAATGCACAATACTAACTCTAATATCTACAATAGTCGCTCAGCCAGGCCAGGAAACTTTAGAGCACTTCTTCACCAACTTTCCTAAGACTTACCTTAATTTTAATATATGTGCTGCCGAAACAAGTATATGGATCTACCTTAAGCAACTAACTCCTCCGATGTATTTTTCCTCAGAAGAAAATTGCGTGCATTCGATACATAAAAACCACTCGCCAATTGCTATTCGTGACAACTATACCGCTCAGTTGGAAAATTTCAAGAAACGTCAAAACAAAATAGTCAATCAGTTAGTCTCATACTTAATACTTTACTATTAAAGAAATCATACGATAATTGACAATGAACGAAACGCGGCGGTATTATATATATATATATATATATATGT